TGTGAGGATCAACAACAGCTGTCGTATGGAATACGTGAGTATAAAAATGCTTGGAAATACCGAAATACGCATTCTTTTATACACTAATTGCAAAATACGAACTACTACGAATTGCAACTATGAACACGCGCACTTGCTGATAATATTTTCAATGTAATTTTTCAGCAAAGTTCAAAAAAGACATTAGATAGGTTACGAACTGAGATAGAGACATAGCGTAGAAACGATGGCGACGACGAATTGTAACGGAAATTCAAATGTAATACAAGCGGCAATGGAGTTCGGATGAGTGCGCAATCAACAGCACCAGTGTTCTGGTTAGGTGATTGGTTAGGTTGATTGAAATTGGTGCCAGCACTTCACTATATAGGCCACATTCGTTGAACGACACAGCGAACGAACGTGCGAACGCCATTTCCAGAGGGCATCAGCACCGCCACGCAAGAGCTGTCCTTTTGTACGTTCTTCTTTCAGTGACTAAGCTTCTCTGTGACTTCTGAATTTCGGAGACCTCAGTTCTGCTAATAGCACATTTCTTTTTCACCTATCCTCTTCATCGGCGTATGCTCATAAAACCGCTTCACCACTTTCATCTCTTTCGCCTCCCAAGCAGTTGAATGGTGTATGACTTTGTGTTTTCCTTGTTCCTCCTATTCTAAAGTGGTTGAACCAACATCTACGGATTTCTCCAAAATGTTGTACGTCACTACGATAAAACTTCCAATGTTGGGTTGCTCGATTGTGTTCTACGCAACAAACCGTTTCAATACTGGGCTGCCATCAATCCAATGTTTATTTGTTTTTCTTTTTTGTGCATCAATTGTTTCTGCAGGAAAAAGGAGAACGCAAATTACGCTTTTAACGACAAAATTTTTGTTGAACTAATTGTCCTTTAGTCCTTTTCAGTGTTCGAACGAACCCAACACTTGATGACAATCCCCTCGGTGTCCACCAGTGACTCGAGCCGAGTACTCCGGTCCTCAACTCGCCTTTCAGAGAGACGAATAATTGCAAGGTATTGGTCTTTTTACACAAAATGCTGTACATTTGTGCTAACTGTTCCACTTTGCTTTTTATTGAGTTAATTGAGATCAAAAGCCACAGATCATCAATTCATTCATAGTTCCATAGGAACATATGGGATTCATGAACGTCAAACACTTACGAAATTGTTTACAACATGAGTAAGGTCTAGTCCATGGGTAACATCAATCTACCTAATGACGATGGGTTGCAGTTTTCTAAAGGTTTTCTGATGGAGTGAAATTCTCAATAACTTTTTCTTTTGAGCGCTTGTCAAAATACCGAAAGAAATCGAGTGGTGAGGCGGCTGTTTTGTCATTTTCCGCGACGTGAGTGGTCTCGAAGTGAGCAGTTATGTAGTCCTTTCCACGATTCCCTGAAAACATTGAATTATTTGTTGGAAAGCATGTGGAAGACGTTTCTGAGTTGTCTACAAGAACTCCCTAAGGACGCCTAAAGAGTTGGACCCGTTAGTTCCTCCCCATGGTGGAGCTCTGTCAACTACCTCTTCACCGAAAGTTAAAAGTGAATAATTTCATGTTGGCTGTGGTGTTCTTCCCTTGTTTCTGAGCACAATGAGAGACTGTGACCCAAGACAGGCGAGACACGGGAAGCCTTACTGCTCCCAACTCGATTTACTCGATAGGTTACAAGTGGATGCGGCTGCCTGTTATCGTTAACATAGTCTTAGGTGAACGAGGGATATTTTGCAATATGTGCTCGCTTGTGTACATTTTATGATAACAACTTTGTAGCTAATCGTTGTTTATGCCATTTCGTCCTGACGTTCTTCTCGTTTCTGGCGTTATTTCTTCAATTTCTTTCCTACTTAGTGCCTCAAGTGTATGTTGCGGCGCCTGTACATTATGCGCGATTCATGTCAAGAATAACAGAACTAGTCGTATGCGATCTACACCCACAGTTCAGGTACGATTTTTTCGCATTTTGTTGTTGGCGTTGATGATAAAGCCCCAATGTTATTCTGCCTAACATTAGACAGCAGTGATGCTGAGATATTGGCAAAACTCCGGAAAGCAGGTGTCTGCGGTGGGGAACGAACACGCTATTACCCTTTCCGTGAAGTAACGCCTTCACCATCACGCCATGCGGGTCTTTCGTTTTGACTCTCTCTCTCAGCTAGTTACATGGAAGGCTACCAAGACTTTTAAAAAAGTGCAGAGGACCGTTCGGACAATGGTTCAAGTCGTTTAGGAAGAACAAAAGAACTTTTGTTGGAGCTGGTCACCATTTTATGCTTAGTAATTACGCCATTCCAGCAGATTGCTCCACCCAAACTTTCGAAGAGCGGAGCGATTGAGTGAGTAAAACTAGGTGCCAAACATAGGATTCGAGCAAACTACAGGTACGAGAACAGAGACCTTCGCTGTTTCGTTGGTACTTTACCTCTCCGCTCACACTGTTATAATATTCTGCCGAATTGTAGTTTACTGTAAAAAGTATCGTTGCTTTTCCCATAAACCTATGTTTTCTAATGGATTGCTTTAAGTGGACAATACCCAGTTGACTATTCTCCGTTGCAAACACTTTTCGTATGCTACGGATGCTTCTCATATTTCGACAACGAATCAACACACTTGAGCCACATGATTATTTTTCATCATTTCATCATTGATTATCAATTTTTTAAGCAAATATTTAGAAGGAAATTTATTTATAAAGTTCTGGGCATTTTTCCGGAAAAAGTGGGATGGTTAAGTTGGGGCATTACAATAATTTAGAGTTATACAGCAGTTTGACTCCTACGAACACTCCTTGGCCTCGAAAAGCGATAACCGTTCCACTAAGAAGGATGTCTTCAATTCAGAAGAAAACCATTCTTTTTTGCTATCTTTGGACTTGAGGAATTAACATATATTATGACTTATGGAAATTAGAATGTCATCTTTTAATCAAGAACAAGTGCTCTCACATGTCTGCTCCACCTGGGAAAGAGGTATATCGTAACGAAGCAAGCAATGTCTAGGTGTTCGAAGTGCGTGGCGAACAGAAAAAGTATGTTTTCTTCGCAAGCATCCTCTCTTGTGTTGTGCGGTAGAAATTTTTGGTCGGGCAAATGTCAAATAGTTTCGAAAATTCTTCTGAGCAGTTGAATTGGGTGCTAACATTTCTCTTCTTTTAGACGTATTGTTCAAATCTCAGCCTACTGGCTATGCTGTGGATCGATAGTAAGGCTAGTGAGATTTATTGATAATTAGATAAAGTCTGGTGATGGCCGTATGTCTAAGGTTCTCTTTGTCGAAATTGAACCGTTCCTCTTCTATGTGCTCGCGACTTTTAGTTGGTTTTCGACAGCTGGGGTACTTCAGTCGGGTGAGTGTCTTTTTCACAAACTTATCTGATCTGTGGAACGTTGTCGTCGTCAATTTTCTATTCTAGCAAGAGAATTTCATCACCAACAATCTCTCCAGTTTCTGCATATTTCCATGCCATCAGCGGCGAGGATATGGAACGCTCTTAATCGACTTTAGTAAGTCCGCTTTGCAATTCTTTTTCTTCCACATTTTGCATTTCGCCTTAATTAAAGGGGCTTGGGTGGCATAGTGACAGAGATGGAGTTCAATAATGCTCCTATGACCTAAAGCCATGACGCGGGTCAACTGCTTCCACTGTTCCTCCCATTGCTCCGAGCTCGGCAAATTAGTACCAAACTTGTTTCTGAATAGTTAGCTCCATCTAATCTGCGAAGACTAATGACCGCCTTTGTTGAAGGGCTGGGAGTGTCCGAAAGGTTTTTTCATGCAGTTTTTGTTGTTCATAAAGCGAAAAGTTCTGTTATTCATATTCCTTTTATGTTACTTGGTCTCCGGGTTACTTCGAATCCTAAGTGGCCCTGAGAGGTCCTTGTCGGCCCAAGCTATCGTGTGTATAATAAGTATTGGTGCAAAAAGTTGACCGAAGTTATCTAAAAAAAGATGGTGAAATTTGGCTGCAAGGATTTTCGTTCGAAAATGCGAGGTAATATTTATGTTCCGTGACCGTGTGGTAACCAGGTTGTTAACTTCGCAAATGTCACATTGTAGATGTTGTCAGAGGAACAGAAATTCAGGAAAAAGATCTACTAAAAGCGATTAAGGGCGTACGCATTTATAAGCTGTCGAGGTTTTTTTTTTCTCATTTCTTGGTCAGATTCACGAAGATGCACTGTTCATTCATTTCTCTTCTGTTTTAGGAGATCATGTTTCTTACAATACGCAAAGGATGGGATGCAGCAATGGAAATGGAGAAGTACATGGCTAAAAAAAAGCAGTTCAGATTATTAGCGAGGGAAGACCTGTTGGAACCAGCGTTTAAGGTACTTTTGAGTGTAGTATAGAGTTTTGAAGAATTTTTCAGGATCTTGTATTCAATCGATGGTTGCATGCTTATTGTTCGTTTATTGTAGTATCAAATGAACCAACTAGCAGCCAGATAACACAAACAAGTCGATTTATTTTGGTTCCGTGTACCTTGGCGGAAGGAGATACATTGTAATTCTATTGCCTGTCAGCTATGTTTCTTATAAATGCCGAATGACTTAAGCTCACCTAAGCGATGTTTCCACTTGGTAGATCAGCAAGAAAAAGTGGGGCAATCGTTTCCGCTCGTTCGCAAGAGTTCGGTAGAAGTCTGACCACCGCGGCGGCAGTCTTCCTGCTATGCTGCGTTTCACTCCAATGTGACTTAATCGCTAACGATGCCCGCACCAAAATGTCGAAAAATAGGTGAGTCCAACGTTTGGTGCGTTTTAACGGCAATTAATGGATGATAGACGTTAGCGATTAACCACAACGTTGCTGAGATATTTGCAAAACTCTGGACCGCAGGTGTCTGCGGTGGGGAACGAACGCGCTATTGTCCTTTCCGGGGAGTAACGCTTTCACCACCAGACCATGCGGGTCCGCTGACGGGTGATTGCTGTGGCATATATCGATAGAAATAGCTAAGAGACAGGCGAAACAAAGGACGTTCGTTCCCCACCATAAACACCTGCGGTCCAGAGTTTTGCAAATATCTCAGCAACGTTGTGGTTAATCGCTAACGTCTATCATCCATTAATTGCCGTTAAAACGCACCGTTTGTTGGACTCTCTTTTTTCGACATTTTGGTGCGGGCAACAGTGTCGTCATCAGAGAAGCTTTGGTATCCGGGTTTCTGTCTCTTGTGTGGTGTGAAATCCTCCTGTTCTCGTTCTCTCTCCTAAATATTCGAAAATAAATTCGAAAAGGTTGAATGATTTTTCAAATTGCTTACTCGGCATTCCAAAATGTGTATTACAGTATCATGAATCACAGAATCAATGACCAATCAGTGAAAAACGTGAACGCAAGACCAATGGTCCTTTATTCTTTTCTCTTCATTACATTTTTGATGGTCTTCGCTTTTCTAGAAGAGCTGTGCAAATGCCCGGTATTAACCTGGCTAGTTTATAATGTTACAAAAATGGGCCCGTCCTCAAATTGGGGATAATGCCTCCGGCCATCGGTTTGCACTCCCACGTTGGTACCCACTCTCATTTTGACCCACCCAGAGTCACTTCTCTCGCTGGAGCAAAAACGAGATCGCTTTTAACCCTGCTTCGTTTTCTTATTCGCCACCTAAAATTCATCATTTAGTGAAATGTGTCTATTAGGCATTCCTGTAAGAAAAGTCTTAGAAAATAACGCTGAGCTGTAAAAATTTCATTGTCTTAGTTGGTGAGCTGTATTGAGGATTCGTGACAGCTTCTTTATTCCCTGTGTTACGTAAACAAATTTAGGAACACCTGGCGACAGCTCAGGCACAACGGGGTTATTGACGTTTTTCAGGAGCTACGGATTCTTGACCAGTTAAGTAGACTTAACTCCAACTTTAGATGATTGTTACAAGGATCTTTGTCTTTTCTTGGTTATTCCGCAGTTTTGTTTTTTTGTGATTGTTATTGTAAATCTTCTCCTGTTGGTGGTGTGTTACCTTCATGAATCTCATCAACTTCTATTTTCTAGTGATATGTTTTTATTGTACCATTCCATATTCATTATTTTCTCAATATTTTTTCAAGGAGATCTCCACGTTGTTTTGTGTTGAAGCATGCTCATTCTTTTCTCATATCAAGATGAAGTGGAATGTTGGGTATACATATTATTATCCTTGTGTTGAACCGTCTGTTAATATATGTCTCATAAATGTTGATCTCATGAAAACAGTGCTGTTACAATGCAACTCATTCACGTCAATCCGCTGAACTGTTTTGACACCGTCGATGACATATCGCTAACGGTGGAGTTAGCCATACCAACCCGAAAAGGTGAATGAAGGTTGCGAGCCAAATTGCTAGTGGACATCCTGAAAATTTAAGAATTCGAAAATTTGGAGAAGAATAAAGGTGCGTGAGAGCTTATTTCGAAAGTACTGCATGAAAAGAAAGAATTTTCAACTTTAAAACTTTCTTAATTAAGTAAGGGAACTACTGACTTGATGAATCAGTCGCTGGAAACACGAGCAAGCTGTTTTGCTAGATCGTGGACGATATTTACTTTGGATGGCATGAGCATAACTGTACCATCCAGCAAGTAAAGTGATAATTCCTAGCTTCCTATTCAGCAGTGGAATCGTTGTTGCTAGTCTCTTTTGAGCCTGTTTGCATATTCGCAGTTGTTTATTCAGTTCATCGCGTTTGTGCACAACAGCGTTACTGGAATACAATCCACTAAAAGAAATATGCCTTGCGTGCTTCCGGCTTCACATGCTGGTTTGGCACAGCAAACTATTGTTGATTATCGAAAGGCTCATGTGGCGCAGGGCTCGGAGGCGCCCTGCAACACACACGTGGGACCGATTCTCGCACCCTTAGCCCCCCAAGCCCTCCATTCCTCCGAGGTCGGCGAATTAGTACCAGACCTGTCTGGGAGGTTAGCAGCACTGGGTCGATACATCGGTAAGACAACGCGAGTCATTGTAAAGGCAACGTATGCATTCAACCACCTCCAGCGTTGCTTAACAGAGTCGAATACATGGCGCATCCCTGAGGGATTGATAAGCGCCGAGAGCTTTGTCCTTCACAAACTGATACGCCCATTCAACTTTTGTCCATATTACCTAATTTGCATCGATTTTAATGCGTAAGCCAACAGTATCACCTGCCCTTCTGTTGATTATCGAGCGACTCGAGCAGATGCCAGTAAATCTTTCACTTTCCCCTGTCGCGTGCATGAGTAGCCCAGTGGGTTCTGCTCGCTCTAGAGACTCGTTGAGCACCATATCTTTGTTCTGGGCTTTCCGTGAAAAACTCCGACCATGGGGTCGCTTGTCTTCCTGCAGCACGTGTAACATCTCATGGAGACCAATCACTAACGGCTCTTGTCCATCGGTTGTGGTTCAAACGCATTACGTGCGCGGCACACCTTATCTTCAACCGTTTGGCGTACAGAACAGCATCTTGGATTTTTGATCGTTGACACAGGTCAGAGGTTCGGATCCTTTCCCTTCCTTGTGTGAAACGGGATATTCCCAGCAACGTTCTTTCGACTGCGCACGCTCAATGACGCTGAATGATTTTTCACCCTGTTCAAACAGAGACCAGGTTTCTGACGTATACGTCAGGCAGAAAGCTCTTCGATGCTTCTGGAAGCCTATCGAGCGGCTCGTTTTCTTCTGCTCAAGCCTCAAGCTAGAACGTTCATCATGTTAATTTCCCAACCGAGATAGACGTAAATGGAACTATTCGGAAATATTCATTCTGTTGGGCGTGAACTAGGCGCACGTAGTCAATCCTTTCCCAATGAACATCGTTTTTCTGATTCGCTGGAAGATGAATTTTTCCGGAGGCTTTATCAAAGTCGGCAAACATACTTTCTGCTGGCTAATGTTTGGTGTTCTAAAAACGATGTCATTAGCAAAGCGAAGATGGTGTAGTTACAGACAATCCACTTTCACCGACCATCGAGGACTGGCGTAAGGTTCTCTAAATTTTCATATCTCATCTTGTCTGGATCTGGTGTTGTCGATTTTTCTCAGACGGTATAGGATGTCGGAATTCACAAGGGGAACCGGTGTGGCGATGTAAACATTCTCTTTCAATTTGCATGCCTACAAGATGACGTGTCTCTTGATGAGATTTCAGTAGTAATCGTCAATGATCTTCTCCAGAGCCTTTCTCAGCGCTATAATTCTTACGTTTGGTTGTCGGAGTGCATTCATTTTAGTTTTGTAATTGGCAATACTTCGGTAGGCTTTGCGAATGCTTTTTCCAGCCTCTGCAGCTTCGACTATAATTGCTGCTCTTTTTCTTTAAGATTTTATTTTATCCTTGTCCACGTAGCTCAGCAAGCTCGTACGCAAGCTAGTGGTTACCTGCAGCTCGTGTGATTATACTCTGACGTCTCAGCTTGAGTGTTTCTGCAGACAGAAGTTTTCGGGTCCAATTTTAGCACTGAAATCTCCAATGAACCTTGAAGAATGTATGGTCTTCTTTGTAGAACTTCTCCAAGTCCACATACAACGTCATGACTTCTTCTTCGTCGTAGTTTGACGTTGGCGCATAAACGACGAAAATAGACAAAGCCGGTATTAATCCACATATTTTTAATCGTAAACGTCCGATTCGGGTTGTAAGTTGTTCGAATGAATCGACGCTCCTGGACAAACTCGTGTTGACCGCCGATGCCGCCGACTCCTCTACTGTGGCGTGTTCCGAGGAAGAGTTCTTCTTCGGTGTCATAGACTGCGTCGAATGGGTGGCGTCGTCTCGTCTCAGCCAGGCCGATGATGTCGCACCTTGTTCTTCTTGCTTGCACTATCAGATCTTCTACAGAGAACTTAGAAGCAAGTGTGTGTGCATTGTAGGTATAGTTCGTTACTTCAGTCCTTTTCGATTTAGGCATCCTAGAATGACCCTGAGATTTTAGCAGCCTTTCCATACTCGTCTTACCTAGCGTTGCCGAAACGGGGTTCTTTGGGTCAAGGGAATGAGGCATGTTCCTTTTACTGCGCTTCGCTTTTTGATACCTACGTGTAACGGATAAAGGATAAAGTTCTCAAAGTTGATCAATCCCTGAGCCATGCGCCATACATTCGATTTCATTATGCATCGTTTGGAGGTGATTGAATGTGTATCTGGCCTCCATACTCTCGGTGGCCTGCCGGTGTATCGAACCAGTGCTACTATTCTCCCAGACAAGTCTGGTATCGATTTGCCTACCTCGGAATGATGGGAAGCTTAGTGAGCTATGGGCGCGGAGACGGACTCCACGTGTGTTGCAGGGCGCCTCCGACCACTGCGCAACATACGCTCTGGGGTGAAGACGGTGTTGGTGAATCAACATTGCGAACATGGTTCTGGAAATTTCGACCTGCTGACTTCGACCTCGAAGATAAGGAAGGCGGCGGGCGTCCCAGTGAACTTAACGACGACGAATTGAAGACACTAGTGTAATAAGCGTAACGAAGAGGTATCGTGCCCAAACGATGTGAGTATGTGAAACAAACAAACAAAAAAGTGTAATACGTCAACATTGATGTTTTTGGTTATATAGTTAGCTCTTCATGCTTATTATGACTTCCTTCATAGCAAGTTCGTTCAAGGCTTCGTCGAATATGTCACGATTAAGCATCTTATCCATTTGTCTCATACGTCCTCCCAACGGTTTACCGCCCCATCGTAGCTGGGAGGTGTCCCTGAATGTCGGGTTGCGATGTACAGCGGAGGGATTCATCCCCCTGGCGTGGTCTCCCAAGCTGAGAATAAGTCGGCGTTTCCGTCAGGAAGCCTAGCTAAGAGTAAACCTATGCCAGGTTTCACCACCGTCCTGGTAGCGAAGTCGCATGGTGGCAAGTCTCACTCTGATCCACAAAAACTGCGACTGCATGTGGTGGTGAAGACCTGGGACACGCTTTGGCCAGGCTGACCTCGGGATTTTTGGGAACCACAGCGGCTTATATAGCAAATCTCCAAAAAATGGTGATTACACTGGGGCACGCACAACCAATGGGGACGTGCAGTTTATGTATGAAGCGTCAAGTAAGTATGTTACGTCATGCTCGACCTATGTAATAGAGAAATAGATGGACTACCACAGTCAACAGTGTGAAAGCATGGTGCGAAACTGACTGTAGAAGGAGCAGCTTCTTCTTAAAGAATGTAGTCCTTGCATAGAAAATTCTATCGCGTCTAAATACTTGATGCTTGAACAGTACAGACGTTTACATATCGGTGCATTTTCCAGCATTCATTGCAGTCTGGAAAATCGTTGTAATCCTTTCCAAAAAAAAACACGTTTCATAGCTTTTTCTAGGTCGTCGCCCAACACGCAATCGCAGGCTCCTGTGCGCCGACGTAGTGTTCTATTATAAGATAATAAGATTTACAGTATCTCTTATTGCTATGCTTAATAACTCTGCTGTTTGCCGTTTGTTGAAATGCTTAGCCCGTGCCTCACTGAGATCATGTAAGGGTAGCGTTTAGCCCTGAAAAATCGATTTACCTAACAACGTAAATGAATCATTTCGTTAGTGGTGTGTCAGGTTGCAGTACAGTAAGAATATACGGCAAAACACTTCCAGATTATCGTCTTACCATTGCACTTGTCTACGCTCCTTTTTGCCTCTCCACCCTACCTTGAAATTGCGCCGATATTAATCCATTCAAACTAATATAATTTCAAGGTGCTGTGTAAAACTTGGTCTAGTTGTATAGTTTTTCACGAATCGCCCCTAAAATAATTGGTTGTACAGAATTTGGCAAAACTGTTGTGCAGAGCCTAATTTAGGACTTTCAAGTTGACTGCAATAGTGAGTAGGATTGAATCAGGATTAGAATGAGAAATTGTGGATTCCCATTGCACCAATTGCAATGCAAACGTAGAAACCTCATTTCAGCTGCACATTCGAGACGCGAACAACTACCAGAACTCCAGGATTCATCTGCGGTTAGAAGTGCAAGGACAACTGACGACGGCTGCTAATCAAACTTTTGTCCGTTAATTCTCACCATCTGTTCGTTTCATGTAGTCGTACAGAAATCCATGGCTTTCACTGCATGAGCGAGACTTATTGAACCTATCTGCAGTGCTATAATAATAATAATAATGACAAGTTGACATGAAATTTTGGGCATTTACGAATGAAACTTTCAAAGTCCTTAATCACTATCGTGCCGAGCGATACTGCTCCAACCTCACTGAAATACGAAAACGTGGTATGCGGGAGGTGCGAGAGCTGATAAGATCGAAAAACTTAAAACTATCGGTTAGTAATAAAGGTGGAGAGTTCGTTGTAATTTCCCATCAGTTAGATGTTGAGCTAACGGAAAAGTACCTTGAAGATGCTTCCCTTTATCGTCCGTCGTCTGAGAAGGAATCTAAAAGTCAATACCGAAAGTTAAACAACGAGTGGGTTAAAGTGGCAAAAGCGGCTGGGTTAAAACCATCAGTTATCTTTCATCTCAAAATTGACTTACCAACATGTCCCGTCTTGTACTTACTTATCAAAACCCATGAATTAGTATCCAGCGATAATCTCGTGTCTACCGTGTCGACTGTTCCATCGTTATTTAAGGTTAGACCTATCATTAGTTGCGTGGACGGGCCAACGGATAGAATAACGTGGTTGACAACCCTAATACTTACTCAGTTGTTGAAGTACATTCCAGCTCTTCTAACGAACATCCACATATTCCTGGACCGTCTACGTGCTGCGCAGCCCAGCAGCGCTCACGTGACGGAGTCCTTCGACGTTACCGTCTTTATACAAACGTGTCGAATGACTCCGCAATGCAAACAAGATTCGAACTCCTTATACAACACTGAGGAAAAATAAACATATATGGCTTTAAGATAGAGCACTTGATGGCACTCTTAAAAGAATGCTTGGACTGCTCAATCTTCAGATTGTCCGGAAAGTACTACGCTCAAATAAGAGAGTTGGCAATGGGACAACGACTAGCTCCAAGCCTTTCCATTGCAATTATGTCTAAGGTGGAAGCACCAGTGACATCTTAGGCCGCTACTCTACTGTAGATATGCAGGCGACTGTTTTGTCCTTTGCTCAACACAAAAGGAAATAGACAAATGTTTCGTATTGTTAAATGCACAGTTAGAGTATATCAAGTTCACCCGAAAAGAAGCCGATAAAAAGGCTTTCATTCCTGGATGTCCAAATTCACCTGTCAGAAAATGGCTACATTACCAAGTGATATCGAAAGCCAAGTAGTAAACTCAAAAAGGGCGTTTGTAAGAAACATGTATCGAACAGCTACCAGCGTGTGCACAGGAAGACAGCAGAGAGAGGAGTTCCGGAACTTGGTTCGGCAAATAGTCATTTATAATGGCTACGAAACCGTAGCTCGAGACAGGTGTAGAGGAAACCACAGGTAGTTCAACGACAACTCTAGCGATAGTATGGTCTCGTTTATAGTGCCCTTCATTTCAAATGAAGTAAGTGCGACTATAAAACGCTGTTTAAGAAGAGCCGGTCTAAAGAATTCGGTAACGATAACTGAAATACCACCGAGTAATCTAAGGCGCCAGCTAGTTCGTAACCGCCTATACGACCGTCTATGTGCAACGCAAAATTGCATAATTTTCCCAATGGTAGAGAGGGTGACTGCATGAGTTCGGGTACAGTCTATCTGATCTCTTGCAAAGCGTGCGGGGACGAATACGTTGGTGAAACGGGTAGACCACTCTGCGTACGTATAAAAGAACACCTAGACGGCAAACGTAAACCAAGTACTCCACTAGGTACACATAGCACGCAGAAACATAACGGAGAAGATTTTGAAGTAAGGGTTACGATCCTCGCGCAAGAATCGAGAACACAAGCGCGCAAAACTCTAGAGGCATTCTGGATTAATTCCAAAAATCCGAAAATAAACCGCAAGGAGGAATGCCTCGATATCACGCGTGATATTGGTCAGTATATAAGTCTGTATTTTGATAAGATGGGCACAATACAATTCCGTGTGAACTCTGTGCGGTTGGTCTTCACGTGACATATTTAGTGGAAGACTCATAGAAAGCGATGAGTATACAAAGACTCTGTGTTCAATGTGATTGAAATTTTGGTTCTGTATTTTCTGTTCGGTTATGGAGGTGTTTGGCCGTGTAGATTGTAGTCAACTTGACCTTTCCAGGCTCTGAGGAAGACGAAATCCGCCGAAACGTCAGCTTGTACGTGAATAAAGAAATAAAGTGACACCTCGTGTTTGCTAAACAGAAGTAGAAAGAATAATAATTTGCATTTTTTTTGATGAGCTCACACTAGGATGATAATGAAATTTATTTTCCGCTAACGTTTCGACGTCTTCGTCTTCCTCAGAGCCGACGATCCGAGTCGATGGTCCATGCTTGTTACTTGACTCGTCGTGGCAGCTTCGCCTTCGTGTTGAGTCAGGTCTTCCTCAGTGAGCCATTTCCTCGAATGAGGCATCCTCACTTAGTGATGCCCTTTTAATGAGTAATAATTTTCATGGCTGCAGTCACAATTACAATAGTAGCAGTGATAGAAATAGCGTATTCAGGTCGAAGATGACACTAAGCCGTTCTGAAATGCCTTCCTTACTTTTATGGTCCTTCCACCTCCAGAACTTCAGACGTAAGAAGTATGTCATGTTAACTGCTAAAGATGTCTTCAAGGGTTTTCGGGATACCACTGAAAAGGAATCTCACAGGTAGGAAATTTTACACATAAATTAACACGACTTAACTACGCTTTAAAACCTTTTCATCAAGTTGTTTAACTTTTTTTGGTTTCTATTCAGATTTCGTAGCGCACAGGAGACGTTCGGTGCAATTCTTCGACGAAGATGGATCACAATTTCGTTGAGACGAAACCATATCCCTCCAATGCGCTATCGAGACGGTGATGTTAAGAATATCCTCTATTA